TAGTAATTTTCATTAAAACTGTAAATTTGTGTTTGCGTTTAAGCACAAATAACACATATTATTTCAGTCTGGTGATTTACACTGTAAAAGCTGATCCTCTACATACCTGTCCCTCCACCTCTTGAAAATATTTCTGTGAGTGCCCATGTAGGTCAGATAACAGTACTTTTAATACATCTATTTTTTGTCACGTGAAAAATTGAATGTTGTGTGTTAGGTATGTTTGGAAGAAGATGAATGTTTATTCAATACTCTAACCATTTGCTACACATCTAGTTGTATTTTGTGGAGAAAGTTTATCACTCTTTTGTTATAATAATTAAATTCAAATCTTCTCTATTTCTTCCAATACCTACTGAGTTTTGTAACTAATATAAACAAATAATAAACAGTTTCAAATTTGGAACTTCTACAATTTTGTGATATAGAGCAGAAACCCAAAGTTTAGCAACAAAAACTAATCTCTTACCAAAACTTTGTCTTAACTTCTCAAAGCAAATTCAAAGGCTGCTTAGAATGAAAAGATACATTACCTGATCTCACAGATCAAGGATCAATCTTTGTGGCCAAGCCAAAGTTTCTGCTTCTTCACATATACTCTCATAGGGAAACCCATCAAGTAAGTTTAAGACTACCAACCTTCAATTTCTAGCACCATTAATTGTAGATGCTCCCTCCTCACAAGATAAAAATTTCAATAAAATGCATGCTTTCTGAGAGCAATGTGAAAATATTCTACACTTCATCTTCGACCAAAAGCAACCTTTTCTTACAACCTTAAACTGCATTTTGCACATTGTCTCATCAGTTAAATTGACAAACTAGTTAAAACCCAAGCTCTCCTCTGTTCAAACCTTATAACCAAGAGAACTAATAATATTTCAGAATATTTGTAGTAGCCCCTTCTTTTAATATTTAACAATAATATATTTACTTAATTCTCTTTCTCTGTTTATGAGGCACTCTAGTAACTGAGTAATGAGTTAGAAGATTTATAATGCTAAGAATCAAGTTTTGATACTTGTGGTTGGCACAGTTCTGGTAGCTCATTGTGTTGCTTTTGTTTTAAGATAAACAAGACTGTGTATGAATGTACGCGTGTTTATACATCCATGAGGAACATAGCAGTTAACCATGTGCTTCCTTGATGTAAAGATCATGTTGATGCAAAGAAAAAAATAAGTCTCCACCTATCCTGTCAGAATTTCTACCTCTTAAACACAATAAATAAGTACTTTCTTTATTAATACAGTTGTTAAGTCACCTAATAATTATACTTCAGAAGGTGGAGCCTCTTGTATCTTTCATTTAAATATATGTAAGTAATGTGTCTAGATACAATACATTTGAAAAAGAAAGATTCCACTAACACTTACAAATTTAGTGATATATTTCTTGTACACGATCTTAGCTGAACATTTTTTTTAAATGTGTAATAGCCTAAATAACTATATCATAAGTAATTTTATTTCAATTTTGCCCAATACTAATTTGTCAATAAAACTGTATTTTAAACATGTAATAGTGCCTACCTCTATTAGAAGCTGTTATTATACCATATCCATCACCAGAACGAGTATCAAATGTTGTGATCTTGAAAACTTAAAAGCTATTTAACTAAGTATCAACAACCAATATATTAGTATTAAAATCCTTCATTTCATACCCTAGAGGTACCACATGCTTTATATATTTTAATTACTATTAAATCATAAATTCAAAACAAACCAAGCCAAACTAAATCATTATTTATTCTCTCATGCCACAGTGTTGCGTTTTGCCTATTGTTTTTATTATGCACTAAACATATCAGACCATACCACTGCAGTATCAAGGAAATATTTCTGTCTGTCGGTCTGTGGATGCATCTCCTTCTAAACAAGTTGATCGATCAAGACTAAACTTGCAAGGCTAACTAAATAGTCCAAAAGCAAACCAAATTCATGTTAAACTTTCCATATATTGAAAAATGAAAATATTTTATAGAATAACCTGTATATCGTTACTGCAGTAACTATTGTAAATAGTTGGGTTTTAACAAAACTCACAACATAAAATCATACAAGTCAGAGATTGTAAATGAAATATTCAACATTTTGGCTTGTTTCTCATAGTAACCAAAATACACAGTAATAAAATATCCAGCTACAATGTGGAGAATAAAGATATTGCTCTTGTTTGAGTTTACCATGCTTTTCTGATTCACACCATTTAACTTCCAGTTTATACTAGGGTTAAAATATGTGCTTAATTAAACCTGAATTAGAGAAGTATTTCGTAATTAAAATATTTTTAGGATATTTCTTACTTCTTCATGTAAAATATAGTTTTCTGTAGAAGCAAAATTCAAGATTATTATTAGATTCAATGCATTGAATATACCAACTTCAGACAGTAGAAATTTTGACCACATCTCTATTGTGAAATGGGCTACTTTTGATCAAGAAGTAACACAACTGCTTTGCCATTCTGTCAAGTTTCTTGACTGCTACACCTCCTCACTTCTGATCCACTTCCCCTGTCTTAAAACAATTTTTTTTGGAAAATGAATGCTACTAAAAATCTTTGCAGAGATTTTGCTCATAATTAGCAAATTTGTTTGTGTTTTACTGCATTTTTGAGAGAAAGTATGGAGGAGTACGTCTCTTTAAAATAACATGCAAAGTTTTTAAAGTAAGACATTTAAAGTGCATTATAAGAGTTTCAAAAAGAAAGCCCATTATGGAATGAGAGTTGGCTTTTACTAGTAGACTTTTGCCAGATACATTGGGGTGTTACCAAGGGCAGAGCTGAGTATGAAAATTACTTCTCCAAAGACTAGTCAAACTGCACTTCTACTTAATTCTTATCAGAAGCTTTAACAGACATATGTGATACTACTGCATGTGGAAGCTCTAATTAGGAATGCTGATAGTTGACACTGCTACATTTGAAGTGTTTAACCATTCAGTTGTACAAATTAAGGTACTAATATTTCATGCCACTTCATTACATGTGGAAGCTGTAATCAGGTATACTGTTACCTGATGCTTTACATGTGAGGGCTGTAATGAGGCATACTGATAGTTATTAATAATATAATTCAGTGTTTAACCAGGCATATATGGGTGATTTCCATGTGATGAAAGATGTGTTATCTGTTAAACATACTGCACGTTACAGAATAATGTACTTTTATGAAAAATACTATTTGAATATTAGGCAACAAGATAATTTGCTTTTTTCGTTTTGTTAAAGTTATTATTCAATCTAAATTTCAGGGAGAAAATTATACTGAAGAAGTAACAAAAAATTTGCAGATTAAAAGGTTTCACGAATGTTATATCTGGAAGTATTCAGTGGAACCCCCAAAAACGTAAGCTACTGATTTTCCAAGTATCTTATGGATATCTGTACAATCACATTGACATTTTATATTTATTCTTCAATTCCCTCACAAATAAAAGAAAACACTAAATAGTGAGCTGTCCATAAAATAGTAATTATTATATGACATGTATTTAAAACCTAACATTATGAACCAAAAATCTTCCAAGAGGCCAAATGAACATTGCAATGTGCTACTAGGTTAAAATATTTTATCCCAGGAAAGAAACAGTTTTTTTGGGAGAGATTCCACACAATAATCATCTTACAAACTTTTAGAATAACACCCCACCCCCAGTAGTTCTTTACTCTGTACAACACTTCTGTTATTTTTCTCACAGTTGCAATATATACTAATTATCTTAATAAAATACCTTTCTGATGATTTCAAAACTGTAAGAATGTGTTTCTCAAGTTGAAACACCCATGACCTTCAGACACCAATCATGACTATAGTGTGTGAATGCCTTTTTATCCTTAATTTTGGACATGGGTGCAAACAAAACTTTGGAAGCTACTTGTCAGTTGGAATTTATCAGAATGAAACTCCATGGATACCATTTTCTTAGCTGCCAGTGTCTTTTTATTCCTATGTATTTCAATTTTAAAGAAGAAATTGGAATCGGATTTGCCAAATAAATATTATTTGTATTATCAGTTACGAGAAAATAAGCTTCTAACCAGTGATTCTTGGATTCTATACATGATGTCAGTGGTTCTCAATTTGTGGAGTACGTGACTGTATTTGGTTTAGGGGGGCATGAAATGCATCATGAAAACATCTCATCTTCTCCTTTTTTTTAGCTAAATTTATAGTTATCATCATTGGCTCTTTATCTATAGATATATATGTATACATATCATGCTTTGAATGAATTGAACATTTGGGGGAGAATCAAAGTGTATTACAGAGAAGAAAAATGGGGGGACACAACCCAAAAAGTTTGAGAAATAATGCACTGTGTGAGTATGTGCACAACTATTCCTAACCTGCATTTAAACATATAAAGATATTCTTTTAAGAAATAAAACTTTTATTCATTGCCAGTTCTTTATGAACTTAGCATTCATTTTACATAAGTGATTTGTAAATTTTTGGAGGGGGATATGGAGCATGAAGCCTGAAAATAATTTTTCAAATGAAGAAATTGTGCATTCAGTTATTTAACAACTACAACTGAGATCTTCTACAACTGCTAGAAAATAATTGGTGTCAAAGACAAAACAATAGTAAATATATATCACTGAAGTTTTCATAAGGTTCAGAGAATTAAATTATTAATGTCTCTGAGATATATTCCTTTTTATAAATTATGTTTATCTTAACTTTAAGAAAAAATAAAATATTTAGGGGACTTTCAGTCTTCTTTTTTTTTCACTTTAGATGGTACTTTGCCAATATACGTTTTATGTGCGAGACTATAACACATATTTGTTTTCTAGATCTCTGATTGACCTTTCTTAAGTTCATTTTTTACTTTTATATAAATTTATCTCTTCTAGTATATTCCTATGAGCCTTATTTTTGTTGTTTATCAATTTTGCTGGAATATCCCCCAAGTTTAGGCTATCATTTTATTTTCATTTAACATATTTTCTGAGATGAGCTATTAATTCATTCGCTTGACAACAAATGTTTTGTTCACATTTGCTTGATTATCATTTAACAAACTATTTAAAATCAAAACAGTTAAAAAATTATCACTGCTTTATTTTATTTTTCTACATTATTTCTTTTTGTTCTAAAGTATTCTAAATCAATAATATATTGGCTATAGCTTATGGTAATGTTGTCAGTTGTGTGTCAAACCTTAAAAATATTGTTCATTTGTACATTCAGTCATTTCATTTGTTTTATCATGTGCATCACGAAGTTACTTGTTTATGCATGCTGGAAAGATCTATAGATAAGTCACTTAAGCCGAGAAAATGTTTATCGTATAATTCTAGAATAAATTTAGACATATTATTTACAAACTGTTTCAATATGTATTTATAAATTTTGTTTGTATGCCTAATAACATACAAAGATATCTATTTCACTGTTCTTAATTAAAAAATATAATAAAATATGGGCAAAGGCAGTGGCAGTTCATTCCCCCCTGGTGTTTTTACTGTGCCAGTTTGTTAACAATATTTCATGTTGGTACTAAAATCATCTTACTTCACTCAGTAAAAAGAAATTGATATATGAATGATAGTTTGGGCTAAATTACATTTTAGACTTGATAGCTTAATTCAGAGTTGTTGTTTGTTTGTTTTTGCTTTCAGCAATTTTGTTTTCATTTGTTTTGCTTAATTCATAAGTAGAAAAAAGCAAAGCCACTTTACAAATACAATAATAATATTTTTATTAAATTTATATCTTAAAGCATGATCAAATATTTACTCACATATTTTTTTATAAAAAAAACAGCTTTGTTGGAACTTTTAGTTGGGCCCGTGGTCATCTTGGGGTAAGTATGATTTTTCTTCTTTAATTTAATCTAGAAGCTACAACAAGTTATATTATAGAGAGAATTTATAATATGTTAAGTATTTAAACTAGATCATCATGTTAAATGAATAAAAATTAATTAATCACGTAATTCTAATTTTTTGAAAGTATGAAAAATGAAGGATGACATAGTGGTTTAGGTTTCAAAATTTTTTCTCAGAAATTAAAGGGTTGTAGGGTTTTATTCCTGTGGTATTATGTGGCAGACAGTACCACCTTACACAAATTTGAGGCTTATTACACATATATTTGTGTGTGTGTGTGCATGTGGGGGGGGGGGGAGATCCTAAATGAAATACAGACCATGGACTATGCATTTGTTCAATACTTACTTTACGATGTTGTGATATCTTAATGTCACACATCACAGTTTCAGATACACTCTTTAGTAGAATGTTAGCCTGATGATAGGTCTAAAGATAGACTAAAAGCATACAATTAAGATAATCTTAGCATGGTGTAAATATATTTCATTTGTGTACTATTGTTTTTTCCCATTCAAAGATTACATTTAATGATCACATTATTTGTAAACGTTGTTAACTTATTTTTATCCAGACAAGGAAAATGAGCAATATTATGTCAAAACTCACAAGATTTAGGCACCAACTTGTGTTACCTGAAAAAAGTCTGAAACTAAAAAATTATATAAACCTATAGTTAAGTGTGTTATATTAAAAACAGTTTTGAATATGCAAATCATCAAGTCATGTAACAACTACAGTTGATGTAAAGCTATGGTAGAACTGATATATCAGAACTAAATTTTGACATTGTTTGGCATTTTGTAGGTAGTGTGATGCCACTGAAAATTGATCATCTTTGGAAAGAGTATGTAATAACCCTTTCTGACCTAAAATGTTCACAGACTTAGATCATAAAGATGTGTTATGGTTAAGGATTTTGAATTTCAAAGACAATAGAAACTATGCTGCAAGGCTATTGTCATAATGCATGGTCTTTAGATAGAATATGATCATGTGTGACAACATGGTAAGACTCCAAAATCATTTCAAAATAACATACTCAACCCTCTGTATTTCATGAATGTTGCCTGTATGTGTTATTCACGTATACTGATAAACAACAGATAAGATCAAAAGTATCCATGAAATACAGATTCCAGAAATATTATGAAAAAATATAGCAAATCAGACAGTAAAAGAGACAAACGCAAGTTAACTAACAAAGCAAAATTTTATTTACACAAATTGGACAAGTCTTGACACTTACTGGCCAACTTACAGATTTCTGTTGTGACTTTAACTGACATTTTAACACAGAAAATGAAACAAAAAAGTGTTAAAAGTGCAATATACCAAAAACTGAATGCTGTTTACATCACCAACTATTCCTAACATTTATATGGATGAATACTCTTAATTCGTACAGGTATCTGAAACACCCCTTGAGATGGGCCCACTCTTCCCCACAGGGCCAAAGTGATGTAACAGGCAGCTTTCATGAGAAATACTGACTTACAAATAGTATGTGTTTAAAAACCAGGAAGATGCAGTCAGTGGCAATAACACATAGATCACCAACTTGAGGAAGTTTGTTTTAGAATAAGGAAATCAGAGTCTGTTTAAGGTTGAAATATAATATTTACTGACTTGATTCTTCAAAATACAAAGTTTTATTAATGTGCTCACTTATATATTAGATGATTAATCTAGTGGTTTATAAGGTTTCTAAATATAAATTTCCAAGATATTAAAAATCAAAATTACTGAGAAGCTGAGACTTGTTGTATTTCTGTCTGAGCTGACTGTGGTTGATGATAAGCCTTAGATTAATTTTCAGGGTTGATTGACTCTGGACTAACTTGCTCATTTGATATTACATTTTTACTTTCAATATCCCAGGCCCGGCATGGCCAGGTGGTTAGGGTGCTCATCTCGCAATCTCAGGATCGCAGGTTCAAATCCCCATCACACCAAACATGCTCACCCTTTCATCTGTGGGGGCATTATAATGTGACTGTCAATCCCACTATTTGTTAGTAAAAGAGTAGCCCAAGAGTTGGCGGTTGG